TAATCCGCCGTGCATCTACATTGATGGAATCCCTAAACGCAGAAGTTAACCATGCGTTTCAGTTCAATAACGCAAGAAATCTATCTGTGCGTTCTGACTCAACCACACGACTTCCTCTATGTTTATAGCCAAGACATGGTTCCAAATAAATAGAGGGAGGCTAATGTCAGCTATCAAAGCGACTAAAAGCCAAGAAGAAATAAGTGACCCCACAAAAGAGTCCATTGGATGAGTACAATTAGATTCCAATCAACTAAGTCTGACAACGTCTTCTAAATTTTGAGATCCAAAGTATTCCGAAAATTCGTCCCAGTCAATCGCGAACTTTCGAAAACTTTGGAGGGGGTTCTGTAGGCTGTCTAAAAATCACAATGGATAGCTAATCCCTATCAAGCCCTGATAATGGAAGTTACAATCAGACGACTTTCTAATCACTACATCCGCAACCCTACAACCGCTACAAACACGGTCTCATTTCTGAGATGATTGATCTTGATGGCTGCGACAACAGCATGACTAATATTATATTAGCAACTATTAGAGATGCTGATGAGCAGTGTAATGATTTCAGAAATAAAAGGTTGGACTTAGTTGGTGAGTCGCTTGGTAGAGAGCTGTGGGCAAATATCCATCTTCAAAACACTATGGATGTTGATTCCCGTCAAGCTCTCACAACGAAAGCTACAATCAAATAGCTTTCGGGTCGACAGTCGGAAAGGGCAAATAGGAGACTTTTCACACAGATCGAGAAGAGTTACAATTTGACGACGCTTCCGACAGCTGATGAAAACCCTATTCAGTGGCCTTCACGATCGTTGGTGAGAGTTACAATCTGACGACTCTCATATCTTATAACAGGCAAAGACCAATAAACAATGGCCTTTGCAATGTCATGGCAGACGATGTTACAAGTCAACAACCTCTATCAAACGTAGAAGTTTAATTCTGCGTTTCTCAAATTCGAAACGCACACAACTTGTGCGTTCTCCAGCGAATGTCTAACTCTGCAACGCAGAGTTCAAGCACCAAACGCACACATAACGTGCGTTCTTCAATAGGTTCAACTACGTGTCCCAAACTCTGGACGCAGAGTTGAGCTTCAACGCACACGGCCTGTGCGTCTCAAATCTCTAACAGAGATTTAACTCTGCATCTCAAGCCTTGGACGCAGAGTTAAAGCCCATAACGCCAACTGAGGCGTTTTGACTTGTTCAAACGCAAGTCGAACGGCCTCAAAACCGTTATCCCACGTTCTGAGGGATTCTCGCCCACAAAGGAGCGGAAATAGGGGTTGGTTGCACTCCACATCACCCTATAAATAACCAACTTACTCAACTGAGTAAGGGGTTGGTGGGTTGATCAATCGGTTTCTGAGATCAAAAACCGCAAAGAGCTGAGGGGAGCTGGTATCAAAACCACCCAAGGTCAACAAATCTCGGCAGTTGAGTAATCGGAAGGAGGAGATCTTCGGGAGATCAAGGAACTGATCAATGATCAGTTAATCAAATCCCGAAGGATCCTTTCATCAAAGGTATCATCCACTTGGCAATTAACCGAATTTTCGGTTCCAACAACTCTGTTACAGAGTTTTAACTCATTCTGAGTTCTTAAACTCGTTAAGAGTTCTTAATTAGCTTGCAACGCAAGTTAATCACATCAAACCAGACATTCGGGTTTCAACAACTCTTATCAGAGTTCTTAACTCGTTCAGAGTTCTTCAACACTCGTCAAGAGTTCTAAACCGAAGTCATCAAACACTTCAGTTATTCCAGTGAAGAAGGACGGTCGGATCGTCAACAGAGAGCAAGTTCGACGCGATCAATCGAAGGAAGCACTCCATCGCTACCAAGAAGAACCCAGTCTTAAACAAAGGAGAGAATCAAATCCATTCTCTTCTCTTTTGTAATCGGAATCCAAATTGTAATCGATTTTGAGAGAATACAAGTCAAATTTTCTTTCTTTGTCTTTTTACATCAAATTTCCTACAAACAACATTCAACCTTTTCACTTGCTAAAGAAGTGCTAGAAATAGTTGAAAGATTGCCGAAAGACTTCTTCCCGTTATTGTGCCCTTGATACTTGAAGGATTTCTTTCCTGTCTTATTTGGTCCAAGTTTGCCATGTGCTAGATTTGCCATCTCAGCTTTTCCTGTTTTCAGCTGCTCTTCCTCAGCAACACATACAACAATAAGCTCATTCAAGTCCCATTTCCTATCTTAAGAACTGTAGTTCACCTTAAAAGTGTCAAATTTGCTTGGTAGAGAAGCGACTGCAAAATGAACCATCAGATCATCCTCTAACTGAAGTCCCAACTCCCTGAGACGAATGATCAACTAAGAGACCTTCAAAATATGCTGCCGAACATCACCACTTCCATCATATTTCAGATTAATGAGTTTGACCAGATAATTGTACTGTCTCGCTCTAACGGATCCTTCAAACTTCTTTTTGATGGTCTCAAGCAACTCCTTAGCAGTTTCACAAACCGGAATCCCTCCAC